GAAGTCAAAGAACCCACTGTCAGTGTTCCAAAATTTGGAACTTGTTGAGGTTTTCAGCAAACCCTCTTGTTGTTATTGAGTGAATTGCCAACCATGCGTGAAATATTAGATATAAGCTCTGATGAGGAAGAGGGTTTGGAAGAGAGTCTCACTGTAACCGATTTCAACTTTATCAGAGAGATGTTGTTCTCTTCTGACGAAGAATCCGATGATTCAGTCAAAATTGTTGAAATCCGCGAAAAACCTGAATTGAAGTCAAAGTCTTCAACTCTGGCAGTAAAGGATTTGGGTGACGATGACGATGACGATGATTGCGTGCTTCTGGAGAGTGACCCCGAAAACGGTGTCGCATCTGTCGAAGAGGAAGCAAATGGGTCAGATGACTTGTTTGTAATTGGGGAAAAGGGTCAGGTATTTGTGTTCTTGCTTTATTCCTCTGTTGTGACATTGCTCATGGGAATTGCATTATAAAATAAAGTTTACAGTTTTGAGTTGTTATTTGCTCCTGGAAAGCGATAATTGATGAGAGTGTGTGCTTTGCTTTGTGTTGCTGACGTATTTTTTGTGTCGTTTTTATTTTGTGAATTTTGTTTTAGGCTGGAGAGTTTTGTTCAAGGGTTTTTTTTCCGGTTGTTGCATGTTTGCGGTTTCATAGGTATTTCAGGGAACTGCGGACAAATGCAGCCACAGTTGTGATGTGTGGACCCTCCAAAAGCTATACCTTGGTTTTGTTGCTGAAATTGTGGTATCAGACCGTTTTTTTAAAACGTTTTCGTTACAGCAAACATAGAATCATAGATAGACACATGTTTTGAGCCTGCTTTCTTTTAAAATTGATTTTGTAGCGTTGCGGTCACATGAGATGAGATTTTTATTACTTTTTCCTGCGTGTAATGTTGTTTTGACCAAGGCTAGTTTCTTTGTAAATTCAAATCTCTTAAACCGAAGATTGAATGTTGCATCTCTAACAAATCATGTCCTGTGGTTTTATGGAGTGGTGGTGGAGAGGGCGCAATGTTTATTGGTAATGCTATTTTTAGCGTGAATTGTTTATTGGTGATGCTATTTTTAGCGTAAATTAATTCTAGACGGCTTAATTTATATAATCATGATAAATAGTCTAACTCTAGACACAATATAATCATGATACAATATAATCATGATAAATAGTCTAACTCTAGACATAATATAATCATGATAAATAAGGTAACTCTAAACACAATATAATCATGATAAATGGGGTAAATATTCTAACACTCTCCCTCACTCTAGAGCATACAGATTGTATGTACCAAGCTTGGAATAAATAAACTCACCTCAACAAAATCAACTTGTCTCGAATGTTGAGACAATAGACATGGTAACTTTGGATTCGAACAAGATGCACATATGCTTTAGACCATCGAGAAAATGTCTATAAACCAAATTGGACTCACAAACTAGTGTAACCAAAGAGACTCCTCATATGGAGAGTAATGTTGGACAACTACGAAACTTCAACTAACACCATGACTTTGACAAATTGATTTCCATCAAAAGTGGATGACGAGGGGTAGACAGCGACAAACTGCTAGATTTCCAAGGATGGGGCGTACATGGCTAAAAGCGACAAACTATAGAGATTGGATTCCATTAAGTATGGATGAGGCTTGCAGTAGCTAAAAGCGACAAACTACAAGGACTAAATTTGCCATCACTGACTGATGGGGCCTGTAGTGGCTGAAACAAACTGCAGTGACTAAACTTCCATCACTGATTGATGGGGTCTGCAGTAGCTGAAACATATTCTCCCTCACGGCGAACTGACGAAAATGATGACGCGCCGATGACAAATCATGAAGGTGGAAGATTATTATGGTCTCCATAATTCATCAAAGCATCCAAAAACAAATCTGACAAGGGGATGCTGAAATTGTTTGACTAAGATTCTTAATCTTGCCAGAAATAAACTCTCGCTCATGTTGTGAGCAACCTTCAACCCATGACTTTAGTGCTGAAATTCGGTGTTAACCAGTTGATAACATCGACTCTCTTTAGAGACTTGTAAATAAATGACACAAGTCATCAAGAACATCACAGCTGCTACAATACGCAAAGCTAAACAAATATTATGAAAGGAGGCTAAGGAACAATGTTGAAACAGAGGTATAATGCTGAAATAGAGAGTTTTTTTTATTTGGTCGAATGAGACGAACGGCGGTGGCGCGATGTGATTCCGACACCGGAAAGGTGGCATGTGACAAACACACGCCGGAAGCTTATCAGAGAGAAGTTGTGTGTGACAGCGGGTTTGGATGAGAATGAGGCAACGACTAGGGATGGGTCGCGCTCCTCGAGGCACACAAAACCCCTAACTTTGCCAGAGAAAATGTGACGACGACGGGGCTGGACGTCGGACAGATGTGGCACGCGTGGCGGTGCCTGGATGAGAACTAGCCCTCTCGCTTAAGGAGGCGATCCAGATCCACTAGACGTCAGACTAAACTGTGGCGGCAGATGACGACAGATGGCAACAGATGGTTGGCAGCAGACAGCGACGGACGGTGTCGGAAACAGAGGTTGATGGTAACAAACTTCTGTGGACAACGACAAATGGTACTAGACAACGAAAAACGGTGCCAGACAGTTGCGAACAACAACTAAAATTTGGAGACTAGACAAAAATCAGAACGGGACTGCTCATTGAGGTATTTCAGAAAAGATGAAATTTTTAAGGCCGCCAGTGGCCACGACCACTAGCCACGGGCGGCAACAAAGATAGAGTAGGAAGAGACTTAGCCTTTGTTCACTTGAATGAATTTGGAAGAGAGTAATTGAGGGGATTTGAAGATAAATTTTTTTGTTGTTTATTTGAGTGAATTTGGAGGTAAGTGAGAGTGAATTTGGAAGTAAATTTTTTTAATCTATCATATCGATCAAATTCTACACTAATTCTCACAAACTTTACTTCCAAATCCACACTTACATGCCTCCAAATCCACTCAAATAAACAACAAAAAAAAATTATTTTCAAATCCTCTCAAATCCCCTCAATTACTCTCCCCCAAGTCTATTCAAGTGAACACTTATAGAGAACCTGCTTTCTGCTCTGATACCAACTTGAGATTGAAACTCTAAAAATAATTCTAGAGGGCTTAATTGATTCCCCTCATAATCTTTGCCAGGGTTAGCCTCATGTCAAATTCTTGCAGGGCATAAAATTGCCTTATGAGGAAAGTGACGATGGCCAAAGATATGATGGAGTTGTTCGAGTCTGGACAATGCATCTTGGCTATTGCATCTGAGAAAACACTAAATGAATTCATATCAGCGGATATTGAAACCAGAATTGCTGATCTTGTTTGAGACCCCAAGGTACAGTTGTTAAATGTTGCTACCTCTATACAGAATACATGCAAAACATAGTTTTAGAGGATTATCAGTCATTTGGTGATTTACGCACGCTTTAACATATAGCAACGTTCCAAAATTTTGAAGAAGTACAATTTAGAGAATTCCAAGTCCAACCAAGCCATTTGTTTCAAGGGAAGCTTACTATTTGCTATCTGCTTATTTTATTATTGGATTATCTGTCCGAAATTTTCATTGGTTTGCATGCAGGGAGTTTTAATTAAATATACTGCTTTGGTGCTTGTCTTTGGTAATGGAAGATGTAGCTAGGGTATTTCAAATGTGTTAACTCATTTTAATTTTGGCTTGCAGATTGCATGCCGAGACTTTCCTCATGCGAGATATCTTTGTGCTACATTACCATTCTCTTCCACCCCTCACGAGAAGCAATGTAAGCAGGTAAAAAAGCTAAAATCGTACCTTAGAATTTAGAATTATTACTTTTTTCTGGTTTAATCACCACAGTTTCTTACTTTTTATTTGCTATACGATATTGTTCCTCTACCACTAGCTTATGGTTTTGATGATATGCAGTGCCACTGTTATGTATGTGACTCCCCAGCACCATGTCTCAAGTGGGGCACTGGTGCTTTGAGTTCAGATCATTGTCACGCAATTAGGGGAACTGAGCTGTGGGAAGTTCAGAGGAAAAATTTCAAGCTGGGCTTGAGTTCCTCAATACCAGCTTCAACTAATTTTGGTACTTCACTCAGACCAGGACATCTCCAGCGTAATGAATTTGTGCCTCCGGGTGTAGTTAACTTGTCTCCGAATTCTGTATTACCAAATCAAGCACCCAGATCCACTGCAATGTGTGCTGTCCCCTCACTCAACTCCATACCTCAAATCCAGGCTTCTCGACCAACTATAAATCATTTCCACACTACAGCTTTACCATATTCCAGTGTGCAGAATCAGGTTTCTAGGCCTATTAGCACCCCTATAATGACCCCAACCCCCAACGTAGCAATGCCAAATGGTGCAAGCCATGGTAGGCTTTTGTTGAGAAACAGAGTCCAACCACCCTCTGTTCCAAGGCCAGTGCTGGGTGTGTGTAGTCACACCATCCAAAAGGGGCGAGGAAATGGTGGAAGCAGTTTTAGATCTCAGTTCCTTCGTCACCCTCTGGTGTCCAGGGGAGTAGACAGTACTGGGAACTTCCTGATGGCAAATAACTCCCTTCATGGATCATCTGGAATCAGCAACAGTGTTAATCTGACACAACATCACAATTATGGTACATCAGTAGGATTCTCAAATTACAGAAACTGCAACGAGTCATATGATGCTTGCCACCCCACAAATATATACCCGCAGTTGAGCTCTCAACTGGCCAGCCTGAGTTGTGTTAACCAGCAGTCTGTGGCTTCTGAAACACAAGCATATAGTCAACCCTTGCCCCTATCAAACAGTAGCCAGGGCTTCCATCAAACTTGTATCCAAGTAAATAATGGTGCTGCTTATGTGGTTCACCTGAATAGCAGTCATTACGGAAATGAGCCTCAAATCCGAAGTCAAAATGGAAATTTCGGTAGAAATACTACACAATGTGGAATTGCAAGTCAAGATTCTTGCCAACCACAACTACAACAACCAAATGAACAGTCTGCAAGGGAGACTGCTGGAAAATTTTCAGCATTTGACCCAAGTTGGATAGACAATACTGGTCAAAGTATTCTAGAAACTTCAGGATCTGTAGGACAAGCTCCCAATGTCAACGAATTCATTGAACCCTTGTTTGAATGCTCTCAATCACCCAATTCATTTGTTGATTTTGATAATTGGCTTTTGGATAAAGACCAAGTTCCAGAGTCAACAGATGGGGTTTTGCAATCTGAGCCGAATATACCATCTCCAGATCTTTTTCCAGCTGATATGGTTATGGGTTTATTTTATCATGATAGTAAATGAGTTAAGGTGACTTGCCAATACCTCCAAACCACACTACAGTCTTCAGTGGAAGTATTTAGAATTGGTTGCCAGTTGAATGATGATGCTGTGGTGACTACTCAATTTTGTGTCCCTATTTATGAAATGCACAGCTGAGTATTGGCACCTTTCATTTTGAGGCTCGTCTACTTGTGTTATCATGATGATAAATGAGTTAAGCTGACCATTTTAGACGTTCCCTAATCAGTAATGTCCACAGTTGTTATATAAACAGCATAGGCTAGGGTAGTTTTGCTTTATTTTGTTCAATGTAGTGGGGAAGTCTTTTGATATTTTGCCTGGCATATATGGCTGTAGAGTAATGGATGCGACAACAAGATCAAAGCGAGTAAAACTGACAATTGAAAAAAGTTGTTCTATATTAGATATACCTTTTTCTTTTCAATTGCGTTGACCATAGTTGATGTTTTTGTGTAAATTGTGTATTAAGAATAGTACTGTTTAAATGGAAATATTACCGCGACTTGATTTATGGAAAGATATGACATGCACTACAGAACATGATAGATCACGGTTTTTTGCTATTAATAATAATAGATGGTTGAAAAACTATAGTACCTCTTGAGGAAATTTACAAGCTTTATGAAAGGACGTTTCATAAGCATTTTATAGCATAGTAATGCCTGCTTATGTAATCCAAAGAAACAGTAGAAAGAGTTTCAGCTTTCTCTGTGGCTCGAGAGAGTCAGCAGCCGATTAAAGTGAAGTTGTTGCTTGGATGGAAAAGGTTCTAAGCCCTTAACCGAAGCCATTACTCGACTCAGTTTGCTCCGATGCCTTGGAATTCAAGGTATGTAAATGCTTTGGGAATACTAAAATAGCATTATCTTTATCTTTTTAGCTTTTGGTTTCCCTTCACCCTTCAAATTCAGGAAAAGGCTAACCAATGTGTGAAGATGGGTAAGAAGAATTATTCTGATGCCATTGATTGCTAAGGGCAATTAATCAGAAAGCCTTAAGTGAGACTTCTATTCTCTTAGCAAATTGATTCCGTGTGAATTTGCTGCTAGGAAATCTTAGCTATGGTCTCTCAGATTTTCAGTAAGGCCTTCAAGTTGTGCCCTTCAAATAAGTTGGAGGTTCGTGGTTATTTCTTGTAAGTATAATTACTATTGGTTGAAATTTAATCACCTTAATCTCAAAATTTATCAACTACTTTGATTGCCAATCGAAATTGAATGGGAAAACTAGAATTTGGTGCTGCTTAAGTAGATAATTTTAGTTGTCTTCTTTCTATTAATTTTGACTCTTTGCTGAGTAGTTATATTTCAACTTTTTCTTTTATGAACATTTTGTGCTACCAACTTGGACTTCTATGATATTTAAAACAATTTTTGGCAGCATAGTTCTTATTAACATGTTTTCTATCAAATGTTTATTCTTCAAAAGCATTTCTTTTATCAGGCTGGTTCTGGACTTTGTGTATCTAAGGAAAAACTTCTTCATTGTCTAATGTATGGTGGACTTTTTTTTTTCTTTACTTATGATAAAATTTTTGTCTTGTCCAGTCATTACTACTAAACTTCAGGGGATATTTGTAATGGATGATAAAGAAGTTCATAATTGTTAGGATTTCAAACTGGTTTTGTAAATTATATGAATTTGATACTTTGCTTGTCTCAAATGTGATTTTGAATGGTTTAATCTTTGGTAAATATTGGTGAATACCTTTTTAAACTCAAGCTAAATGATTGAGAAGAAAAAGGCAACTACGAAGGCACTTTCATGTCAAATAAAAACTAGTTAAAGAACAATATCTTAAAATTTACTTTAATACGAATAATAATATTTAAGAATTTAATTTACGTTAATTTAAATGTTTTTTAATTTCATTTTTAATAATTTTTTACTTCTAATAGTGATTATTAATTTTTAATAATCAATTGAATTTTTCTTTGGCTTGTGGTGATAATTAAAGAAATTGACATTCATATGATCGTAAGAAAGTTAAGCCTAACCTTCACTTATAAGTTATAATAATATTGAAAAGTATTAATGATCATGTGAAGTATTAGACTTTGTTAATTAAAATTTTTCATTGATTATCATGTTAAGTTTTGGATTTACTAACAATTATAATTTTTATTTATTCAAAATTAAAAAAAATTAGTTATCATGTGAAGTCTAAGACTTAGCTTAATAATTAAAATTTTTATTTTTATAAAAATAAAGTTGTTGTTCGGGTAGAATGAATTGGAAGTCTTTGAACCAATCACAACAACTGCTACTAACTCAGATTCACAAGCATAACTAATTTCTTTACTAATATCACAACTACCTCCAATGCACATACAGTACAAACATTTTCAAAATCAGCCCTATCAACTCTCACATTGTCAAAAACTGCATAGCTATTATCATGATAATCAAATTCATCATCAATAAGTGCATTCAAATCAGTGCAAAAAACTAGCAGAAGGTATATCCAGATCATCAATGGAAGATGTTGAATTCATGACATCAGAATGAGCATAGCAAGGTAGTATCAACAGATTCTATAGGCTCATCGTGCACATGATCAAACACAGTGAAATCAATTATAGGATCACATAACTCAGCATCAAAGTCCATTTCATAGTATCGCATCACAAAAACATGGTTAGCAACTTTCGTGATTTTTTCTAGACACTCTTCAGAATTTCCGAAATCAGTTTGTACTGCAGATTTAGTTTTAAAATCTGAATTCGACAGCCGTAGAAATGAGGTTCAGTACTGACATCACCATCATAATGCACATGTTCACATAAAATCAGATACAGGGACAACAACAAAACTATTAGAATCCAGAACAACAGTCAATTCCCTAAAACCAACAATTAGCTTTTCAAAAACAGCATCAGTAAAGGTATGCTCATAAGGTACATGTGCACATTCAGAAAGATCAATTGATGCATCAACACAATCATCACTCATCACAATATTGGAATTAGCATTAACGAATTTTAAACAAGAATGTAAATATATAGTGACAGGGGTGGCAGCAGCTGCCACCTGTGGTGCTTGATTAGTTTATGCCTCCTTCTTCTCTTCAACTCTCCTATTTAGGTCATTCAGCTGCTACCAATCCAGCCTCTTGGTCATCTCTTCTAATTCTGAAGATGAAATGCTTTGCTCTGATCTGGTTCACAGAATTGTGGCTGCTCTGGTTGCAAGGGCTGGAAATTTTGCTGCTCAGGTGCAGCATGTTGAGTCCCCAGTGGTAGTGGCTGCTGCTGCATAGGCCAGGATGGCTGCTCATGGTATGGTTGGAAATATGGTGGGTGTTGCTGCTGGAAAGGTTGGTTAAATGGCTGCAAAGAATGCTCAAGAAAAGGCTCTCATAACATAGGTTAAAACTTTGTGGTTGAGCATTGTGAGGAAAAGAGCAATTGTCATATGCATATGACTAATTCAAGCCATAAGATGCACAGTAAAAGAACACCAAACAGACCATGAAAACCAATATAACGGAATTCAAAATTTTCAGAACAGAAAAGAAAAACCATACGAACTATATGAATGCAAGGATAACAATGCAAGCTAAAAACTTAAGTCGCCAATTCCCTACAACGACGTCATTTTGTTGACAACCTTTTTAGTCGCAATTTAGAACTCAACCATGCTTAAAACCTAGAATGCAGCAAAAGGTGACAACATTGTGGTTCTATCTCTGAAAATTAAGACACGTGCAGTAAAATTGATTTAAGCTTTAATCATTCTGAAAGTACTTGTCTATGTTGGGTCTCATTTCTTCTTTTTGTCTCAATTGCATCCTTAAATATGAAAAATAACTGCAATTGAATCTCTGCCATTAAGTTGGATTAACGAATTAAAATTAAGCCGAGTTGTTGTTGTGACCCAAATTCTTTAATTTACGTGACAAATCGAGGAGATGATACGTGGAATATGTTAGATTAGACAATTAAAGAAATAGGTTTTTGAAAATTAAAATTAGGATTTACGAAATTAAGGTTCTTAATCAAAACTGGGAATAGAATAGATTGTGAGATTTGAAATTAAGATTCATAAAGGGATCAAAATTGGAGAGGCCACAACAACCAGCAGTTGCAGTAAAAGAAGGAGCTCATGGAGCAGCTCAAGTTGAGGGACAACAATAGCAAAAGCAGCAACCACTACCTGATACAATCACACCTTCAATGAAAATCTTATTTCACCAACAATAAGAAACCATTGCTTCGATAATGGCAAGAATTACCTATATGCAATAATAGCTAGTTGGGTCTTATAGGGCTCAAATAGCCCTCCACCATATTTTATTTGAATTCTTTGAGCAAATGAGTAACCATAGACTGATCCACTACATAACCCCAGAGCAATTTAAAGTCTTTGTCTCATGGCTCGAGATAGTTCCTTCTTTCGGGGAGAAACTAGTGGTGTTGGAGCAGATGATGAACAACCTGCAACTCACAACAATGCAGGAGAAGGTGCAACAGAAGGACTTGGACCACAAATGCAAGGTCAGGATGAGCAGAAAAGGGAAGCATCAGTTAAGGAAGAGGAAGGAAGATGTTGCAGCAGCAGTAGGAATGGAAGATGTTACTGATTAAGGAACTAGAGAAGAGAAAAAGGGGGGATGCTTTGATATTCATTGCCCCATTAAACTTGAATTCTGACCACAATATAACTCAAGTTTGAAATCATAGGAAAACACTAGACGGGGGAGGGGTGAATAATATTTTTAAAATTCTTTCGCAAAGCAATGTCTAATGTATTGTAAGAGATATATACTTTAAATATGATATTTAGACGCTGATTTTTATGAATTATGTATATGGAAAATGTTTCAAAGAGCAAATCAATGAAACATAAATTTTATACTGGTTCACTCAACTTGAGTTACGTCCAGTTCTCTCTTAAGAACTCTTAAGGGGTTTTACTAATCTTCAAGAAGATTACATAAGTTTTACCTTTTCAGGTTTACAATGAATATTAACATCACTCGTAGTTCATCTAGCCAACACGACTAGTCTGAGTTTAACAACTCTTCCTATACAAGTATTCTAACCACTTTTGGTTCAACCCTAGACAAGTGTCTCGACTGTTTAACTAAAATATCCTAAACACCAAGTGTTATAATTCTCTTCAGAATGTACAACACAGTCAGTGTTAAGAGTAAATACATATTAACAACTCTCAAAGAAAGGATAAAAATAATACAAAGCAATATGAGATTCTACTAAGGTTCTTTCTCTAGAAAAATTTAGCTTCAAACGATATAGAACAATAATAAGCTTGTTTGAGCATTCACGAGTTCACTATATTATCCCTCTCATTTTCTTTTCAAGCTTCTGTCTATATATATAATTTTTCTTCATAAATGACCATTAGACAGAGAAGTTAGATTGAAGTCTACTTTGATGAGGTATAA